CTTGAGATGGTCTCTAAATTCAGGTGGGATATGCTCAAGGTCGTATTTTGGCTCTCGTGGACTTGTTTTAATTTTCTTCAGTTTCACCTTGAACTTGGATATGAGCAATTGATGGTTTGTTCCACAGTCGGCCCCTGGCCTCGTTCTGACTGATTATATTGAGCTTTTCCTTTGTCTCTTTCCACAGATGTAGTTGATTTGATTCCTATGTATTCCATCTGGGTAGGTCCACGTGTATAGTCGCCATTTATGTTGGTGAAAAAGGGTATTTGAAATGAAGAAGTCGTTGGTCTTGTAAAATCCTATCATGCAATCTCTGGCATCGTTTCTATCACCAAGGCCATGTTTTCCAATTACTGATCCTTCTTTGTCTCCAGCTTTGGCATTTCAATCATCAGTAATTATCAATGAATCCTGACTGTATGTTTGATCAATTTCAGACTGGAGAAGTTGGTAAAAATCTTCAATTTCTTCATCTTTGGCCTTAGTGGTTGTTGCGTAAATTTGAATAATAGTCGTATTACTGATCTTCTTTGTAGGCATATGGATATTATCCTATCATTGACATCATTGTTCTTCAGGATAGATCTTGAAATGTTCTTTCTGTTGATGAATGCAATGCCGTTCCTCTTCAAGTTGTCATTCCCAGCATAGTCTAGTAGACCATATGATTGTCCAATTCAGAATGGCCAATACTGGTCCATTTCAGCTCACTAATGCCTACGATATCGATGTTTATGCATTCCATTTCATTTTTGGCGATTTCCAATTTTCCTAGATTCATACTTCGTACATTCCACATTCTCATTACTAATAGATGTTTACAACTGTTTTCTTCTCATCTTGAGTTGTACCACATCAGCAACTGAAGGTCCCGAAAGCTTGACTCCATCCATGTCATTAAGGTTGACTCTACTTTGAGGAGACAGCTCTTCCCCAGTTGTATTTTGAGTACCTTCCAACCTGTGGAGCTCATCTTCCAGCAGTATATTGGACAGTGTTCAGCTACTGTTCATAAGGTTTTCACTGGGTAATTCTTTTCAAAAGTAGACCTTGCTTGTTTAAAGTGAAGAGGACTTGAAGTACTTACTGATGAAGATCAAAGATCATAGCCTTCAGTATGGAGTACACCTCAACATAAAACAGAGATCTCACAACTGGACCAATAAGCAACATCATGATACACAGAGAAAATACTGAAGTTGTCAAGGATTTCATTTTACTTGGATCCACAATCAACACCCATGGAAGCAGCGGTCAAGAAATCAAAAGATGCATTGCATTGGGCAAATCTGCTGCAAAAGACCTATTTAAAGTGTTGAAAAGCAAAGATACCACCTTGAAGACTAAGGTACACCTGACCCAAGTCATAGTGTTTTCAGTTGCTGCGTATGTATGTGGAAAGCTGGACAGTGAATAAGGAAGACAGAGGAAGAATTGACGCCTTTGAATTATGGTGATGGCGAAGAATATTGAATATACTATGGACTGCCAAAAGAACGAACACATCTGTCTTGAAGAAGTACAACCAGAATGCTTCTTAGACGCAAGAATGGCAAAAGTACATCTCACATACTTTGGACATGTTATCAGGAGGGATCAGTCCCTAGAGAAGGACCTCATGTTTGGTAAAGTAGAGGGCCAATGAAAAAGAGTTAGACCTCAATGAGATGGATTGACACAGTGGCTGCAGCAATGGGCTCAAGAGTAGCAAGGACTGTGAGGAGGGCACAGGACTGGGCAGTGTCTCGTTCTGTTGTACCTAGGGTCGCTGTGAATCAGAACCGACTTGATGACACCTAACAACAAGATATTAATACTTACATGGCTAGCCTGTTCCTAAATCTTGTGCATTAGTTCTTGGCTGAATCTCTGAAAATTTACGTAAGTAAGAGTCCTGGAAATGGCATTAAGGGATGGCCATTGATTATTGGTAAAAATGATTACTTAGAAGGAATGACTATAGGAAACATGATATTTTACATATAGATATTGTCATCTGTATCATTTTTTATTCCTTATATGATGTGGAATAACCCCCCAATGACCCTCACCCTTCTATAAAAAACCTGTTGCTGTCAAGTCGATTCTAACTCACAGCAAACCTATAGGACACAGTAGAATTGCCCTATAGGGTTTCCACGGCTGTAAATCTTTTACGGAAGCAGGCTGCCATGTCTTTCTCCTGCAGAGTGGCTGGTGGGTTTGAACCACTGACTTCTCAGTTAGCCGTTGAGCCCTTAACCACCAAGGCTCTTCTCGATTATACCATACTTAGAGTTAATGTTGTACCACTTCACATAAAATGTAAGAATCATGTTTCTGTGTAGGCCTGACTCCACCCCTGTCCTTTATGCTGTAGATGGCATATCCACATACATTATAAACCTTGCAGTGTTACAATTTTTGCTTTAAATACTCACATGTATTAGAGAAATTAAAAGAAAAAAGTAGTTGTCATGGTTTGAATTATGTCCCCCAAAAATGTGTGTATCAGTTTGGCTAGGCCATGATACCTGGTACTGTGTGATTTTCCTGTATGTTGTAAACCTGCCTCTATGATGTTAATGAGGGAGGATGGGTGGCAGTTGTGTTAGTAAGGCAGGACCTGATCTACAAGACTGGATTGTGTCCTGAGGCAATCTCTTGAGGTATAAAAGACAGAAGTGAGCAGTGAGACAGGGGGACCTCATACCATCAAGAAAGCAGTGCTGGGAGCAGAGCCGTCCTTTGGACCGGGATCCCTGCACCGAGAAGCTCCAAGTCTGGGGAAACACTGATGAGAAGGCCGAGAGAGAGAAAGCCTTCCCCTGGAGCTGACACCCTGAATTTGGACTTCTGGCCTACTTTACTGTAAGGAAATAAACTTCTCTTCGTTAAAACCATCCACTGTGGTATTTCTATTATGGCAGCACTAGATGAGTAAGACAGTAGTCTTCTATATTTGCCTGCTTACAGACCATTTCCAATGTTCTTTATTCTTTTCTGAAAATCTAAGTTTCCATCTGGATCATTTCCCATCAGCCTAAAGTTTAACATTTCTTATAATGTCTGCTCGGTTTTCAATAGTTTGATTATGATGAACCTACATGTGGGTTATTTTGAACTTATCTGTTTGGGGTTCTTTGAGTTTTTTGAATATTGTTAAAACAAAAATCATTATGCCAGTAATAGAAATTGATTGAAGTTTATTAAATATACTTTTCGAGTGTCAGAAATGCTCCAAAGATGAAAAAAACTTCCAAAATTAACAGAACTGATAAATTTGTGGTCAGGAAGGATTTTCATACAGCATTGTCTTGAAGAACAATTGAAATAATTACTGATTTACCCTAAACATAGCTCCCAGTCTGACCTTTGGAGTCTGTTTCCCAAAACTAACTGAATTCTTCAAAAGAGCATAATGCCGAAAGCAAAGCTGTCTTACTAGTTTATCTGGACCACTGTTTGATTCAAAGGTGGCTTTTAGGAACCAGTTTTTTCAAGACTCAGGGTTCAAGAAGGCAATGGCCTGTGTAGGTTACCCCAACTTCCATGAAAGCCAGACATCTGGATTCCAGGAAAATTAAGAGGGTTTGTCAATGTGTAAATTAATGTATTTCATGAAATTTGGGATTACTTTGGCCATTATTTCTTGGAAAAATAATTTGCCCCATTTTCTTTCTCCTCTGTTTATGAACAGCAACAACTCCTTCTGGAACACTAATGAACTGTACATTAGACCTTTTGGTATTGCCCTACAGGTCCCTCAGGCTTTGCTCATTTTTTCTTCTTCAGATCAGATAATTTTTCTCTATCTTCAAGTTGATAGAGTCCCTGAGTGGGACAAATGGTTAAATGCTTAACTACTAACTGAAAGGTTGGTGGTTCCAACCCAACCAGAGGCACCTCAGAAGAAAAGCCTGCCGATTTGCTTTCAAAAGGTCACAGCCTTGAATCCTATGGAGTGAAGTTGTACTTACTGCAGCATATCAGGTTACCATGAGTCAGAATCGACTCGATAGGTTTGCTTTTGGCTTATCTTCAAGTTCACTGATTTTTTTCTGTCATTACTCATCTACTCTACCCAAAATCAAAACCAAACCTGTTGCCATTGAGTCAGTTCGACTCATAACGACCCTACAGGACAGGGTAGAACTACCCCATAGAGTTTCCAGGGGGCAGCTGGTGGATTCAAACTGCAGACCTTTTGGTTAGCAGCTGAATGCTTGCTATGCCCATCCAGTGAATTTTTTTTTTCCCAGATATTTTTCAGCTTTAGAATTTCCTATTTTTAAGTTTCTGTTTCTCTTACGAAACTTTCTATTTGCTTATTCTTTATCAGCATATTTCCATCATGTCCTTTAACTTCATTATAACAACTTCTTTAAAATCCTTGCCTGTTAAATTCAAATATGATTCATGAGACAAAGATTAGACAAGTCTACAAAACAAAAAATAACACGTGTGAGGAACGTGCTTCTTAGTTCAATCAAATATACAAGACCAAATGGGCAGCTCCTGTCTAAAACAGGACAAGAATGGAAGAAGGGACAGGAACTGGACAAATGAGCACAGGGAACCCGAGGTAGAAAGGGCGAATGTACTGTCACATTGTGGGGATTGCAACCAGTGTCACAAAACAATATGTGTATAAATTTTTGAATGAGAAATTAACTTGAGCTGTAAACTTTCACCTAAAGCACAATTAAAAAAGGAAAAAAATGAGCGCGGCATTAGACCTTTTAAAAGCAACATAAGAAGCAATAAGACAATAGAGCAGTGCCTTCCAATGTAGAATTCTATATTCAGCCTAATTTGCATCAAGTGTGAGGAGAAAATAAAGAATTTCAGATATACAGTAAACACGCACACAAAAAAGCAATTGGTGCTTTTAGTTCCCTCCTGCCTCTGTGTTTCAGGGTTCCAAAGTCCTGAGATGACAGGGAGGGAGTTACGAAGTAGGTATTTTTATGCTACATTATCTACTTTCTTAGTAATGAAGCTTTCTTATTCTGCAGCTCTTGGATAAGCACAAGAATACAGAGAGCATGGTGGAACTTCTGGAGTTGTATCAGAGGGAGGATGAAGCCTACAGCAGCCTTGCAGAAGCCACAACTGAACTCTATCAGTACTTATTACAGCCATTCCGAGACATGAGAGAACTTGCCATGCTACGAAGACAGCAGATCAAGGTAGTAGTATTTTTAGACCTAAATAGTAGACTACCTAATTTATAGTAGTCAGCCTGGCTGGCTGTGTGTGACTTTTTTCCCTTTACTAGTGAATCAGGACATAGAACAAGAGAGACTTAGTCTCAAGATTGACACACTCTCCTTTATTAATACTTTTGAAAATCATTGTGTTGTCAGACGATTTTAAATCATAAACTTGACATTTTGGTTAAAATCGTAATATGAAATTTAAGTAAGAATTGTTAGACACTGCAATTTCCTCCAGATTTTTGAATGAAGTATAGTCATTTGCCCATTAACAATTTAACTGGAGGGTCAGGAATGAACTAGATGACATGGCCCTGACTCTGCTGCCATGTTTAGCAAACACAATCTGTACAGATCAGCATCAACAATCCAGAATCTATATGAATTTTTGCTTTCATGTTAATTGTATTACAGTTTGTATTGAGCATTAATATTAGCAAACTGATCGAACCTGCTTGTCAGGCTGTATTGTTACTAGCATCACTTATCTCTCCATTTTCTCCTGGGAAGCAGGGTATAGGTGAGGAGAAGAGGCAGCATACTTTAAAAATTTGTAACTTTTTTTCCTTTAAGGTAAAAATTGGATTTTACTGCATTCTTTTCCTAAGACATTGCCCTTCAAATATTCCATCAGCCATAACCACTCTTTAGCTTTCTTGGGAACTTTTAAATATATATTTTTAGTGAACAGCTAGATTTGGTTAGCAAGTAATTTTCTTCAGTCACCATAATAGGTAGTAATAATAATTATCATTGCTGCACTCATACAATGTGTCAGATTGCATTAAACGGTCCTGTTATGTAAATCTGCTCATTTAATCCTCACAACAACTCTGTAAGCAAGTGCTTTTATTATCCCTACTTCATAGATAAGAAAAGTAATACTGGAATAATTAACTTGTTCATAGCTATTTAATAAGTGGTGGAGCTGTACACTACTCAAATTTAGGTCTTTCATTTCAAAGAAAAATGCTCTTTTTCACTGCATCACTGGTTACTAGTTACTTTTAAATTAGAAAATTCGTGCTTAGTAGAAAAAGCAATTATAATTGATTTGGCAAAATATTAGTTACCAGTAGTAGTAAAACCTTACTTACGTTGTGTAGTATCACTGTGTGGATGTTTGCAACAGAAATATTTTAGTTCTTACGAAGATAATTTCTAGCCAGCTCACTTATATTTGGAGCATTTGTTTCTGATTTGAACTGTGCTTGTGTTACTAAGTCAGACTCACAGTATCAATACAGATATCTTTCTGACACAACTTTCCAGTTAATCTTGTCGGTCCTAATGTAAGATCTACTTTTTTTTTTTTTGTACTTCAGGAAGGCTTACAGAACAAATAGTTTCTCATGAAACAGAAGTACACATGTTGTTTTATGACATTGTTTAACAGCCCCACAACATATCAACACTCTAACTTCTCAACCTCTTTTTTTTTTTTTTGGTGAAAATAAACATAGCCAAAGGTACACCATTTCAAAAATTTCTACATGCACAGTTCAGGGACATTGACTACGCTCTTTGAATTGTGCTGTTATTCTCACTTAAGATGATGTTTTACAGAACAAAATAGTTTCACATTTTACTACAAATGTTGCCCTATGACAATGGTTAACAA